CTCCATCAGTCTTTCATAAATAAATGTTACTCAATTTGTTATTTGCTTTTGGTTGATTTCCAGAGATCTGAAGTGGTTGTTTTTGACAATTTGTCTAGTATGTATGTATGTTTGTTGCAGGGAGGTTTTGCTGATCTTTACATTCTGCTATAGCCATCCTCCAACATTTTTAAAAATTTAAAAATTCTGAATTTCAATATCATTACCAGAAAGACTTAACTGATTATTTGCACATTTAGAAATAATCTTTAATGTACAGTCTTTTTTGAACACAGATCATTTATAAAAAAAAAAACTATTCTTATAACATTACTGTTATTTCACTGTATTTGACCACACACAGGAGAATTTTCCTATTTTTACAGTGTGTTTTATGCCCATTTAGTTCCTTTTGCTTGGTAAAATATTTCTTGTAGGCTAAGTTAGTACTTCATTTTATCACTTTCTCATTCTCTTCCTTTGATGAAGTTTGTTGGATGCTTTTCTAAAAACTAGGTGAATTCTACCTATCTTTTATCTACAGGGACATTTACATATTCAAAAAGAAATAGTTAAGCAAATTAGCAATGTATGACTCTATTTTTACTTTTCATCCAGTAGATTTGGTGCACTGATCTACCAAATTCCAGTCTTTTATCCTCCTAACTTTCCAAGTGGAGAAGTGATACTCACATCTATAATTATATTTGTCAAGATCTTTTGTCTCTTCATGAATAGAGTTCATTGTCTGCTTACATGCTTCTCAGTTGACATTTATGAAGACATTACACATGAGAAAATGAGGTGAGACAATTAGAAGAGACAGTTAGACAATAGAGATAATGTTCGATAAATTCACTCCAAAATTCCTTCACAAATTTTAAGTGATTGCCATTTAAATTTGATGATTTATTTACTTTTCTTTAAACCTTTCTCAATAACTTTTATTATCTGATTTAATAAAAACTTATCTGCTTCAAAAATTTTCTGGCCATTTTTCCCAAATTGATTAGTTTACTAATATGTCTCTCAACACTCACATTTTCCTGTATTTTGTGTATGCTCAGATACTTGCATATGTTAAATATATATTTATTATAGTAGGGTTAGAATTTGGCTTATTTAAGGCTAGGATTTATTTATTATTAATCCCTATTTTGTGTAATGATAGAATTAAAACACAGAATTTAAGAAATATATTCACATAATAAAAATACTACTGCTACCATAGCTGTTGCTTCTGCTGCCACTACTACCACTACTAGATAATGTTTATTTATCTCTTGCTGTGATCCAAGTACTATTTTAAGGGTTTGAGTTGTGATAAGTTATTTACTCCTTACAATAGATTATGAGGTAGAAAATATCATTCTCACCATTTGATAAGCTGAACTGTGGCAGGTGAGAGAAGTTGAGAAAGTCTCAAGGTTACATGATAATAAAAAATAACACCTGCATAATTAGTCTGTTTCAAGTGCTGTTCTAAGAGTTTTATATGTTTTTTTTTTTTAATATTTTTATTTCTTTCTAGGAGAGAGAGAGAGAGACAGCGTGAGCAGGGGAGGGTCAGAGAGAGAGAGAGGGAGTCACAGACTGAAACCGGCTCCAGGCTCTGAGCGGGCAGTCAGCACAGAGCCCGACACGGGGCTCGAACCCACGAACCGCGAGATCATGACCTAAGCGAAAGTCGGACGCTTAACCGACTAAGCCACCCAGGTGCCCCGAGGTTTATATGTTTTAACATATTTTAACAATATACTTAATGAAATTATCCTATAAAATCCAGTTACTGGGGCTCCTGGGTGACTCAATCGGTTGAGCTTCCGACTTCAGCTCAGGTCATGATCTCACAGTCTATGGGTTCGAGCCCCGTGTCAGGCTCTGTGCTGACAACTAGCTCAGAGCCTGGAGTCTGTTTCAGATTCTGTGTCACCCTCTCTCTCTGACCCTCCCCTGCTCGTGCTGTCTCTCTCTAAGAAATAAATAAAACATTTTTAAAAATTTTTAAAAATTCCATAGCTATTATTATTGTTGTCCTCATATTGAAGATAGGTAAACTAAAGCATATAGATGTGAAATTACTTGTTCCTGTTCATGTAGTCAGTAAAGATCATTCTGAGATTGGAGGCCCACATCCTAACTCTCTAGTGAGGGCAGGCGTTGGTGTTTGAATTCCAGCGACCTAACACCAGACCTTATGCTTCGCCATTGCTTTCTGCTGCCTGGTAGACAAATTGCACATGAGTTTTTGGTAGAATTATTGAAGTTTGGGATTAGAAGAAACTTCAAAAGTAGTCATCTATTGAACAATCTATTTTACATCTGTGGCAAAATCCTCTCCAGATTTTTTTTTTCTCAACAAGTTTTTGTCCAGACATTCTTTGAAAATCTTCACTAATAGAGAATATACTAACCCCAGGGCAGCTCATTCCATTTTGAGTTGATATTATTAGAAACTACTTTTCTCTGTTGTGATAAAATTTGGATTCTTATGGGTGCCACTAAAATCCTTTGAATCTGAATTGGCCCTCTGAAGTCATAAGAAATAAGTTTAATTCCTTTTCCACATATGAATATATATGAAATAAAGTTTTTAGGAACTCTTATCTTTAGTTTCTTGAACTATCCCATATATAACATGACTGTGAGATGTCTCACCATCTTAGTCTCTTTCCTTTGGACCAAAAACTTTATAAACTTTCCTCCTAAACCATTAAACACATAATATGTAATATTTCAGATATATTCTGAACATTATAGAATACAGCAGGCTAAAACTTTCCATTTCCTTTATGTATGTAAGTATAGGTCAATGGTTAAAAGGGTGGATACTGAAACTAGCTATCTAGTTTTGATTTCTGCTTCCAGCACTTATAACCACATTACTTTGGCCACATTTCTACAGTTCAATGCCTCAGTTTCCTCACTGGTCAAATAGAGATAAGTGTAACTATTTTGTAGAATTGGCATGAGGATTTAGTGTGACCATTAGGAACTCTTAGAAAGCTTCCTGAAACAGTATGAGCTCAGAAACTGTGGGCAAAATTGTTTAAAAATTCAGGCACTATTGAAGATCTATTATATAGACACTGACATTGCAAAGATGGAAAAGTTATCTTTTCCCTAGGTATCTCCTAGGGAGATACTGCATTCCCTAGGTATCTCCACTTAAGATTCTAGGCTTTCTACTTCTTATGAAGAGATCTATGATTGCATTTGATTCTGCAAAATCATAAATCATGTCACACTATGGACTTATAATTAGATAATAGTAAGGGAAAACCCTTGAGCCTTTTTAATGGTGGCTGCTATGAAATGGTATCTCTTCTATCCTATTCTAGGTCATCCAGTTACATCTTGTCAAGATCTTTTGGGATCCTGATTGTGTCTTCTGGGGTAATGGTTTCCCATCCAACCTACATGTCATATGTGCATATGAGAAGCCTTCTATCAATGTGGCATCCAAGTCATTGGTGAAATGTGAAGTAGAACAGAATCAAAGAGAGAGCCTGCAGCAACCCTCAGAGAGCTCCCTTTGGGGAGTCATTTACGAGTTAGAAATCCACCTTACTGTGCTTACACTCAGAACATTTCTTAATCTTGTTAATAAGAACACCGTGGGAGGCTTTTTTATAAGCCTTATTTAAACCCAAATGTCTAATATTAATTTATTTATCATTATTTGTTTGGTAATCCTAACTCTATTGAAGAGAGAGAGAGAGAGAGAGAGAAAGAGAATGAGTGCAGTTGTTCTCAAGAAAGCTGTGCTAATTCCTAGTAATTACTGTCTTCTGTAAGGGCTTTCAGCAATCTTGTAAATAATCACTTATATAACCTAACTAGGGATTAATAGTAAATGTGCTTTTTGTATTTTAAGATACATTTCTACTTCATTTTGAAAATTAAGACTTTATTATTATTATTTTTTTTCTCCATCCTTGTTTCTGTCATTAACTGCCAAGATAATTATGGTTTAGAAATATTGTTTACAATTTCTCTTATAGGTTTTGTGATCTAATTTTTTAGGGCCTCAATATTTGAAGCATTTAAAGATATCTTTTGCAATCACCTCATTTATTTTGGTTTCAACTACTCCTCCCTGATGCCTTTCTATCCCTCTCCAATATGAAAATCCTTTTTGACTGAGAAGTTGGCAATCAAATCTGCTATAATACCACTAATCTCAAATTGATAGCTTCTTTTGTATTTTTGCTAAAAAAGTCAACTTTGACATTTCTGTAATATCTTTTGTATTTTTATAACATCTATTCTTTCTGATTTTAGTCTTGAAGACCATTCTCTTGGGTCGATGACATTTATATATTTGCCAAGTGTGGGTCTTTCTTTTGTATATTCAACAATTCCTTCCACAAATATTTGTTGAGAGTCTATTATTTTCCAGGCACTGTTCTAGGCCGTGGGGATACAATAGTGAATGAAACTGTCATATTCCTTAACTTACACTTCCTAGTGTATATTTTTGATTATTGGATTTATCCTTCTACTTTTTTCTGACCTGGAGAGTTTCCTTTTACATGCTGAGTTTTTCATTGTTGAGCATCATCCAGTCCTTTTGAGATATACTTTTAAGTTAGAATCCCATGGTCTTAGAAAAAAAGTTTTCACTTTTTCTCTTTGAAAATTCTTGAAATCAGCCTTCTGAATTTATGAGTCAATGTCTAATATTTTTCCTAACATTTATCTACAATAATGTTTCCATGATTTCATAAAACTAAAGACAACAATATGGGACAAAGAGGCTTTGTCATAATTTACACAGATGTTGGCACATGCAGAGTTGGATGTTAAGTCTAAGTTTTTGTGTTTTTGTATTTTTTTACTTCTTCATTATTCCATTATAATCATTCATGGATTTTTCATGGTTTTCGTATATCACCAAGATGTTTTGACAACTCTCAAGAGGTTTATTAATGCATACTCAAATATGAGATAAAAGATAAAGTATTTCTTTAAAAATGATCATATTTTTAGTACTAATTTAAAAATCATCTACATTTTAGGAATAGCCCTGCCCTAGTCTATGCCATCCTTGTTATATGGACCTGGAGCATGCTGCAGTTTCCACTTGACCTGGCAGGTAAATGTCTTGATGTTTGCTCAAAGAAACAGAAAATGATTAACTCTTGATTAAAAATTGTAATAAAGCTAAGGAGGCATCTGAGAGTATTATCATTTTAATCATTTTGACATCCTAGTGTTAGTTCCAGTTCAGTTTAGGAAAAAACTCAACTAAAACTTAGGAAAGCCATTAGTGGGTCCATCCTGGTTACATGGTGAGCCTGAGATAATTGAACATACCAGAACACAGCTTTACATTCACTTCAAAATGCAAATTTTCAATTTGAATTTGTAAATTCGCCTTCAAAAAGGTTCCATCCTGTATGAGTTGGAAAATCTCCCTCAAATTAGTTAAAACATTTGTGCCTCAGTTTCTCACCAATGAAATGGGGCTGATAAACATAGTAGCTAGGGTTGAAGGTTCTCGTGATGACTACATAAGATACAGCTTGTAAAGTGCTTAGCACATTTGTTGGAATATAAATATTTCTTCCTGATATTTTATGGACTCACTTTCGTTCCTTTGTCAGAACATCACAAGAGAGTAAGAGCAGTTCTGGGGCCACATGGAAAATTAAAATTCTTCTCAGAAGTGGTCCTTGGAATTCCATTGGCCTTATTTTAATAAATACATAAACTCCTGAGACTTTGCAGGAAGAAACTGTTTTCTAAGCATATCATACTAAAGATGCATTGTCCAATATGGTACCCGCTAGCTACATGTGGCTATTGAAATTTAAAATAAAATTAATTAAAATTAAATGAAATTCAAAGTTTCATTCCTCAGTCACACTAGCCACATTTCAAGTCTCCGCGGCCACATGTGGCTGCTGTAGTAGGCAGAGCATTAGGCAGAACATTTTTATCATCACAGAAGTTTCAATTGGACAATGATCAGTAGTCATCTCTTAACTTCTAGGAAGGATCCCTGGAATTCTTATTTGAGAATTCTCCAGGATGTCACTTTACTCTGAAGTAATTCTAGGAGTAAATAATTACATTTTCCTTAAGCCTGACTTCTTTATGGCACCCTACCCACTGGTGTCAGGATTAGAATTAATCTAGAACAGGGATATTTAATCTTCTCTGTCTCTTTTTGGCTTACTTTAATAGGCCCAGAACTTTCAGAGGCAATTTTAGATTTTAGCAACCACTTTCTGAAACAAAATTGTCACTGGAATAGATGGAAAGAGTGACTGTGGCTTTTTAGAAATACTCAAAAACTCATTACTAGTTAATAATTACAAACAAATTTTTGCCAGTAACACATACACACGTGCACACACATACACATATTTTGTCATAATGTGCCCAATCTATACTTATTGATCAGGTGGTATCTCCCAACAGAATATTACCATCACTTTAGATGTTGAATAACACTCTTAGGAGGTCCCTTCAGAATGATTTTCTGACCCTAACTCCTTTGGAGGGGCTATTATTGATCTTAGCTGGTTTTTCTCTTGTCATTCACTCTGCTGATCCTCACTCTCCCCTATCTTGTGGTTTATAGACTTGCTAAGAAAATTTTTATTTGTGAAAGAAATTCTGTAAACTTTCGGGGGTGATAATGTTATGCAGCTGTTTGAAAAACAAAGACCAAATGTTACTTCTGACTAAATCACTATTGTATTTTCCAACAAACAGTACATTATGTTCACCCATATCAAAGCAGCTTCATAATATTTGCAGGCTCCAATAGATGAAGGCATTCTTTGTTTGAAAATTCCAAATGGAAGGCTTCATTATTATAAAGGATTATTTTATGTCCTTGACCTCGAATTAAATTAGCATTTTAGAAATTAAAACAAAAAGGTTCATCTGTTGATTGGGCCTCCTTTTGTTCAACTGGAAAATCAGTAATTATATCCAGTGTTTCTTGTAAACTGTGAAACAAAACCATAAGGCATTAGACAAAATAAAATAACAATGGCATTTATTTTGGGCTTTTGTCCCCCCACCATTAAAAAAATATGTTCAACGTGAATCGAGTTTGAATTTGAATTATAAACACTTGAATTTCCACAACATAATTTACCCATATGGCTGACTGAGTCAACCAGGAAACAGGTCGACCCCAAAGGAAGGATACAGAAGGATCTGGGCCATGTATCTATATACTCTGTTCTATTTCCCAAACTCCGCAGCCAGATAAGTCATTCATTATCCGAATGGAAAGAGAGAAGTGAGAATCAGAAAGAAGCTAGTGGAAACAAAAAGAAATGACAAATAGGGGCCCCTCTCCTCAAAGACATCATCGTTACCTCAGTTTTCAAAGGAAGAAACAGGCCCAGGAAGGTTAAGTACCTTGGTCAAGCATCTTGTTAAAAAAAAAAAAAATGAGGAAACCAGTCTATCTGGCTTGAGGCCTGGAGTGCCTGGCTGTGAGGTCTCCCTACGTGGTAGACCCCAAAGACAGGGCAGTTTGTCTTATTCTTGATTCTCTATAGCCTAGTTGATTGAGCTTTCCCCGGGATTCAGACTAGAAGGTGATCTAAAATTTGTTACATGGATGGAAACACAAGGACTAGCTTACTTTGGTATTTTATTGAAATTATAACAGATTCTTGATTTTATTTATATAATATGACCAAGGATGTTCAATTGTTAAGGGGTGACTAAAGGTGGTGTTAATGTTATGGATGGTTTCACCTGTGACCCCCAGTATTCAATTATAGAATCACTCCCACTTGTTAACTAGCATAGCACCCATTGTTGATGACTTGCCCTCATTTCATTCTCTTCTAGACATTTTAGAGATGTGCTAATTGGTCTGTCTTGTGTTCTCAGTACAGCATGTCGTCTGCCCCTTGTCTGTGGCAACGAAGGGGTTCCCCAGCCTGTTTTTTTGCCAGTACAGTGCTGATCTGTGGAATATTGGAATCAGCATCTTCATACAAGATGGCCCCTTCCTTGTCGTGCGTCTCATTTTGATGACCTATTTCAAAGTGATAAACCAGATGCTGGTGTTCTTTGCCGCAAAGAATTTCCTTGTGGTAGTGTTACAACTCTATCGCTTGGTGGTGCTGGGGATGGATGTCCGTGCTTCCTTGAGAAATCAGCCAGGAAGACTAAAGGCAGAGCACAGCTGCCCATGTGAACAAGCTGTGAGTGAGATCTCACCTGGAGACTGGGCGCGTGGTTCTAATGGGGGCTTGGATACCCCCTTGCAGGCCTTGCCTGTCACCCCTGAGGACTCTCACCCCACACCGTAGTTCCTTACTGACAGCAGCATGCAGCTAGAACATTCGACTTTCTGGTTCCTCTTACAGACAGAATCCCCCCCCCTTTTTTTTTTAACTTTGGCATATAATAATTTTCAAAAGAACAACATAAAAAGTAAAGCCAAAGCCGAGGAATTTTCTTTTTTTGACTGAATGGAAAGAACTTTGATTAGTGCCTATTGCTACAACTTCTGTGTGATGGTATCAGATGTTATAGTTGTTCAACGACTAAGTGATTTGTTTGTCTTGAACTGTTTGAAAAACTATGGATGGGGTTACAGTGACATGCCCTCAAAAGATTTAGTGCAGACAAACTGTCACGGCTCTTACCTGAAAATAGAGAAGCTTTGAACTTTGGCTCCATTGTCAGACTATCTCATCTGATCTTTTCTGCAATGTCCCTGACATCAAAAAATGTACATTCAGTGAATGCAGAACAAATGAAGGGAAAAGTGCTTTTAAAATTACCTCACTGTGAGCTGGAAGCAGTGAAAATCTCTGCCCAGCTTCCATAGCATTGAGAGCCCTCTTCATTGCTGCACAGACCTTCCCAGGAAAATCATTTTTCTGGGCTGATGTGGTATTCTGTCATGGCGCATATGCTCCTACAGAAATATTATTGCTTCTGGCTTGGACACTGTGAAATTCATAGCAAGCCATTTTGGTTGTGAGGCAGGAAATACTGGTAATGCTAGCAAAGTCACAATTTCCACCCTGAAACATGATTTGTGGTATTTGTCAGTATTTTTCTTAACTCTACCATTTTCTCCAATGCCAAGTCGAATTATGTGGGTTGGTGAAAGGAAGCACCGAGGCAGTGAATAAAGGTGTTTCAGGCCCTTTAAGTGTTATCACAGTTTCTGGAGTCCACCAGCGGTGGACCGAATTCCCCTAAGCTGCCACTACCACCTTTGCTGCCTTTGCTCTCAGAGAAGGTGTTGGGGCTGGAGGCTGGCATCAGCCCTACACACAGCCAACAGCCCTTGATCAGTGATGGGGCTCAGAGCTCAGAAGATGCCACAGCATTGTGGATATCAGAAAAGTCTCTTTTCTTGCCTTCATTACGACTTCACTTCCCCAGTGTTGAAATAGCCATACTTTACCCTTTATACATGTAGGTACTTCCCAGATGGAGGTCATTCAGAACCTTTTGAAATGATTTTTGCTTTTAAGATACAGCGTGGAAAGTTACCTGACTATATAGCAGTAATTACATGTGAGGCACGCAGTTCCAAAACTCTTCTTTTAGGGTTCAAGGCAGAATTTCTGCTTCTTAGTATGCTGAGGAATTCAAAGGGACATGAAAGGTAAGACAGAATATGACCTTAAGTTAGGTGTGACTGACACCAATCAGGACAATTTTATCTATAAATCTGTGTGACATGATATCTGCTCAAAACATAGGATAAAAAACTTCATAGGCAAATTCTATTTTTATACAGAGAAACTGGTATTTTCAAATTAATTGCTTCTTCGGTGCCTGATAGCGCATTCCTGTTTCTTCCTTTTCTTCCTTGTGTTTCTAATTTTAACAATGTGATGATTGTAAAAATTACACGTGAAACTAACGGAGCACATTTGTAGTTTTCATAATAATTTTGTGAACATTAAGATCAGGAAATTATATTTATATAAAGAACTTGACAACTTTTAAGGGCATGTTATTTAAAATGCTTAGCAATTGGAAGCAAAATAATAACTGCTACTATTTATAAGAACGCCTGAGCAGAATCTGTTTTTATGTTGACTGTTTTATGTTGAATGTTTTCCTCCACAACATGTATGTGCTGCTTATTACTGCAGAGTTGCTCATGGCATACTTTTCATGTTTTAATTTTTTTCTCCCAGCAAAACAAACATTGAACATCTAAAAATAGATAAACTATAAAGTAGTACGGGCTGTTGCAGGGATATTTTTAAATGCTTTCAAATCTGAGACTTGGCTGGGCTTCGTGAATGAATTCCTAGTGTTTAAGTAAACTATTTTGTAATTAGCACTCCTCCAAAGGCCTGGGAAATGGGAAGTCCAGAGTCTCGGTTTCCTTAGAGAGCCAGGTCGGCAAAGAGCACGGAGGACTGGCTTGGCACTGAATAGTGGCAAACATAGACACACGCTGTACAAGGTTTTCCAGGGAAATCTGCTAAGGGCAGCATTTGTTAACCTAACCACCAGTGCTCTCCCGCTCTTGGACTGACTTGTTATAGCAGAAAAAATCTATATTCATTTTGTTTATTTAAAAACAAAACCTAAGTCCAGATTGTATCCCTAGGACCCCTGATGAAAAGAGTTAAAATTTTATTCATGTAATTATATATTTTTATCACAGATTGCTAAACATTGGTGTGTTTGAAAATATCCCAGCCTTTGCTATGTAATGTGGTCAGAACAGTAGTTACCGCCCAGATATGACAGTCTGGGAGTTGCTTCCATTTTATGTATAATCAGATAACTGGTTTAGGTCATCTGTACAATGTGTTGTAAGCCATTCTTCTCTAAGGCCCAGCACAAGACATGTGACACACTAATCCGGGGCCATCTACGAGAGTCGCTCATTTGTGGTGCTGCTGTCATTGTTCTGGCTGTTGTTCCTGAGTGGCTTGATTAAAGCTCAATGAAATGTCCTCCATAAAAACATATCATTCTCCTTGTGAGAAAACACAGTGTACATGTTTCAACAATGCTGCATGTAAATAAATCTTATAACTGCCTCATGGGTTTTCTTTTTACCCTTATTAAGATGAGTGTCAGAGGATGTGACTTCATACTGCAAGATTTTTACTGTATTTGTCTTTCTTCATTCTGTTAAGTTTTATTTACAGATAACATAAACTGGAACTGCTAAATAAAATAATAGAAATTTGTATTGGCCAATAACGTCCTCTCTAATCTTCCAAGATAAAAAATAATCTTACACAGATTTATGAATTGGCTCTGCAGTGTTTCCCCTGATATGCGGCAGCACTTCAGGCCTTGTGAGGTCAGAAAGACGTAGCCAAGAAGTACCCGGATTCACAACTGTAATACTAATTGTGAATTTGTTATTTAATGGAGTTTCCAAAGCCCTGGAAAGGCTTGCTCCCAAGTTTCCAAGTTCAACATTGACTTCTATTCTCTTTGGCATTTAATTCCATGATTCAGAATCCATTCTCCTGTTAAAAGTGGCATAGAACTGCAAAAGGCAGAACCTCTGTCCACCTTTACTCTACTTTAGCGCTAGGAAAGTGAAATGCTGAAATATACTGTAAGAAAAACAAACAATCTTGAATTATAAGAAGAGACTATTCCTTTTTTTTTTCTAACTTCTTTTTACTTAGTGGAATTTTGATGCACTCTTGCTAATATCTGATTTGGAGGTTAAACAAGACAGCTAGAGGACATTTACAGCCTTGAGGCTTCAAATAACTTTCTCTATGATGGGAGGAACTTTAAACAATGTTCAAATAATCAACTGATGCAGTCTTTATTTTATGCATCTCCATCCTCTAAATCCTTCTTTCTAGAATATTTTGTGAGAATACTTTCTCTGAATTATTTATATTTATACTGTTTTGCTATGAATAACCTTTGTATTTTATCATACACATTAAATAGTTTGTGTACAACCTTATCTTGATGTCTGTTATCTGTCTGAATTTCTTGTCTTTGTTCTGTACTGTCATTAGTTTCATTTAGTTTTTAAGCTTGGATTTAAAAAAAACAGATCTATTTAGAGTGTGACTGAAGTGGCATTCCAAACTAGCGAGGAAAGACTGACCAATTTTATAAATGATGTTGGGAAATTTTGTGAACCATCTGGAAAAAATAAAGTGAGATTTTTATCCCACGCAATATATAGAAATAAATTCCAGATGGATTAAAGAACTAAATGTAAAAGTGAAAACTATAAAATATTAGAAGAAAATATGGAATGTGTCTTTAGCTTTTGGGGAATGGGAAGGTCTTTCAAAGCAAGACATGAATCCCAGAAGCTATGAGAGAAAAGACTGACAGATCTGTAATGGTTTAAAATTTCTGAATGGCCAAAGGTTTCAGAAATACATTACTATTATTTTCTGGAGAAAGGTGTCTTGTACCTATACAAGAGAAATGATAGGTATAGAAATTAGAAAGAAGTCAAGTTTATCATTTAATTGTAGAAGATTGAGTCTTGACCATCCAAGAAAAGTATACAAAAAACCAAGATACTATTAAAAATAATAATCTAACATCACACAAAATCAATGCTTTTCTACATATAAACATACATCACATAAAATATGTATTTGAAGGAGAGATTTCCATTACAATATAAATGAAAACCATAATACATAGGAATAAACTTGGTAAATGTACATGATTCATGTAAAGAAAACTTCAAAAACGATTTTGAGGACATCAGTGGAAAATTTAACAAATCAAAAGTTATATTTCTATTTGACAGAGGTTAGATGCCTTGATATTTTAAAGAATTTCTCCTAAATTGATCTATAAATTTAATACAACTACCAAAATGACAGCCATAAGATTTTACTTTTTAATGATTACCCAAGCTAATTCTAATGACATTATAATAAAATAAGCACTAAAGAAAACCTGGAATATACTGAAAATAAGTAAGAAAAATGAGAAAGAATTTTCAGTATATTTAAATATATTATAGAGCTACAACAACCAAGAGAATTCAATTCTTTCAGGCAGAAAAAAGGAACAGAAGGTGAAAAATAGGTTCAAATACATCAAGATTTTGATATATGATAAATCGTGAGTAGAAGGGTGGGTGATAAAGTATTGTAAGTGGTTTAAGGTTTTAAAAATATCAAACCGAATATCTATCTCAATCCCTAATGTCCAAAATATTTCCAGATGGATCAAGGAGTTAAACATTAAACACTTTAAAACATATTGTAATTGCAATGGTGAGAATATTTTCTAAGCTAGATACAAAACTAGAAACCATAGGCAATTAATAAATTTCCACTTGTAAAATTAAAAACTTTAGCATCATAGAGGCACTTGGGTGGCTCAGTCAGTTGAGTGTCTGTCCTAGGTTCAGGTCATGATCTCACTGTTAATGGGTCAAGACCTGTGTCGTAGGGCTTTGCGCTGAAACCTCAGAGCCTGGAGGCTGCTTCAGATTCTGTGTCTCCCTCTCTCTCTGCACCTCCCCTGCTCATTCCTTCTCTCTTTCTCTCTCTCTCTTTCTCTCTCTTCCCCCCTCTCTCTTTTTCTTTCTCATTCTCAAAAAATAAATAAACATTAAAAAATTAGCATCATAAAAAAAACCATAAGTGAATTCAAAAACTGAACAATGAACTTGGTTCTTGCAGCAAATGTAGCGAAGTATTAGTTTTCTTAATGAGCAAACAGCTCTTACAAATAAGAAAAACAAATCCTTTGGAAAAATAAGCAAAAGATATATGATTCAATGCAAAAGGAAAAGTTAAGGAAATGCGAATCCAACCACAATGAAATACCATTTTTTAAATGCAGACGAAACCACATGATACCACTTTTCAATTATCAGGTTGGCAAAGATTCAAAAATGTTTTAGGATGTGTATTAGAGGGACTCAAGGGAAACAGGCATTTCTTACTCATTGCTAGTGAGGATATAAATTGGTATAACTTCTTTGGAAGATGATTTGGCAATATTAATCAGAATTAAAAATACATTTGTCATCTGACCCAGCAACTCAGCCTTTGAAGGAAGTATCCTACAGATGATGTGCCCAAAAATGTATGTATAAAGCCATTCAAAACAGTATTTTCCATAGCAGCAGCATAGTGTCCATCCATAGGGTCATTATTAAATATTGAAATATCTATACTACATAACACTGTGTAGCTTTTCAAAGGAATAAAGCAGATCCATAAGTGCTGATAAGGAACGATCACTTCAATATTTTGCTAGATAAAACTAAGGGAGCAAACCATAAGGTTAGTATGTCACTCTTTTTATAAACGTTATTCACCTTTATACAAGTGACTGGTAAACCTACAAAATGATCTCCAAGTTTCTGATGATCCTAGATATTCCCACCTTTTCTATTCTTTTTTTTTTTTTTTTTAGCTGTTGTACTTTTCATAGTTTGAAATTCTTAAGTATTCATTACTTTAGTGATTTGAAACACAATTATTATTAAAAAGAAACCTCACCAGCTTACAGAGCCTTCTGCCATGTATGGACACTCTGATATCATTTTGCAAATAAAG